CTTCTTTTCATGCTTAAACATTTCCTGCCCAGTTCGAAGAAAGATGCCCACTTCTTTCCTCCCCTCAATGTCCCCAGCTCCTCACAGCAACTTGTTAAAAAAGTCAAAGCCATCCCCATCCCCCACCTAGTCTCCAAAATTTTCCCTCCAACCAAAAGGAACAGCATTTTTTTAAAAAAGTCCCACTGGCAATGTTATTTTCCACTTCAAACCTAAAAAACTGATGGCCCCAATTTGTTGGACACTATATTAAAGCAGCAGAAACAATATATTTGGTGCAACATTGCTCCCAAGGGTTCATGTCTGGTGGCTCAGTGAGTAGCACTCAGGCTGTGACTTTATATTCCCTTGGCAGAGATTTGAGCACTACATTCTAGCCGACTTTCTCAGAGCACTTCAGAAGAAGCACTCTGCCTCGGCAGAGGTACCATCTTTCAGATGATATATTAAAATATGACACCGTCTACCTCTTCAGTTCGACCTAAAATATCCCATGACCTCTGTTTCAAATAAGGGCAGGGGAGTTCTCTTCATTGGCTCCAGCCAATATTTATCCCTGAAACAAAAATTATCCCCAGATTATCTGGTTATTAGCACATTGCTGTTTGCAGAACCTTGTCAGATGTCAATTTACTGTGGTGTTTCCTATGTTGCAGCAGTGACTGCACTTCAAATTTATCAAAAGCTCTGTAACATCCTGAAGTTGTGAAGGGCATGATATAAATGCATTTTTTTGGTGAAAGTGCTCCATTAACTTGGCTGCACCCAGAAGCTTTGGCACTTGCCTGAATCTTCATCGTCATGGAAGGTGGGAAGGTCTGCCTGTGTATGTGCATCTCTGGAGAGGTACCCAAAGTTTAAAAAAATCCCAGACATTCAAAACACAATCCTAAAAGATAAGACATACAGCAAAAATATTAGCAAAGTTTGCATACTTCTAGCAATTTCTCTTCACCTTGCAGATGATTTCAGTGTTTAAGGCTTTGCATGAAGAGATTACTTCGAGTTTGTTTTTGTCCAAACAATTCTGACGTGTTTTTTGAATGTAATTGCAGGATTATACAACTCTTAACCAGAAAGTTTCTTTTTTTTTATAATTTGATCATATTCAAAAGGTTCCAGAAAGAAATGTCTGAAATTCCTTTATTAAACCACTTCTCAGGTTTTTGTAGTTTTAGTTGAGGACAATGTATTGATAAGGACATTGAGGAAAAGTCCCCACATCTTCAAATCATGGCGAGGGAATCATTTACATTGACTTAAATAATTAGTTAACATCTTAATGCATCATCCAAGAGATGACCCCTCCATTAGTTCAACACTCACCTGGTGCCTTGCTCTAGTATTGACATGGATTATGTGTTCAAATCCTGAAGTGGGATTTGAACTCATGACCTACTGACTTGGAGCTGAGAATGCGACCAAATGATACTAATATAAACTAAAGACAGCAAATGCTGGAGAAATTCAGCTAGTCTAGTAGCACTTGTGAAGAGAGGAAGAGAGTTAACATTTCAAGTCCAACATGACTCCTGTTCACATAGAAGTGACACTAATTCCAACAGATACTAAGGTACCATTAGCTATGAATACTTTATTAATAAAATTCTTGTGCCAAGAAAACATGTACCTTTTTTTCTTTTCGCCTTTTTGAGATTGAAATGCACAATCTTGGATTTTGACATCCAGGTTTTAGGTAGTGTATTTGTGTGTGGTTATAGCAAATTGACAACAACAAGGACTCTGTAAATAAGTGCTATCTAGAGTATCTGGAGATGTCACTAGAGAATTCAGGATTACATTCAATTCTGTGAAAATATCATTTAGAAACTAACCAATTTTGTGAAAATCTCATTCAGAAACTAAATTAAGTCTGTGTTTAGCAAGTCATAAAGCTACATATATTCTTTGGCAACAAGTAAATGATTTTTCTAATTTTTAATTCATGTCAAAATATCACTGAATCCCACCCCTCTTGATTTTCAACACATTTTTACTGTTTTTGTGTTCTTCCCTATTAACCCATCTTTGCAAGACAGAAGCAATCTATTTGGCCTATCTGTGTATCTGCTCCATACAAGCCTCCTCCCAACCCCTCTTCATCTCTCCCTATCAGCATATTCCCCTCTTCAATTTATTAATACTATTCCCCTTGACTACTCCCTGTGGCAGTGAGTTCCGCATTCTCCTCACTCTCTGGGTAAAGATGTTTCTTCTGAATTCCCGATTTACTTTTGTTGTCTGATATTGAAGGCCCTAAGTTCTGGCCTCACCTACAAACATCTTTTCTACATCTACCCTATCAAATTGCTTTCTAATTTTAAAATCCTCAGTACTGTTATCGGAGAAAATAAATTCAGCCTATTTAGCTTTGAGTGATAGCCTCAACCTTTCAGGTCTTCCATCAGCTCTGTGAATCTTTAATGTACATTCTTCAATGCTTCTACATTCGTTTTGTAATATGCAGTTTAACAGTATTAACGTGATGGCTTAATGATGTGGCAAAACCAACAGGATGAATCATGGAATGATGCAGCACGGAAGAAGGCACTCACCCTATTAGGTCTCTGCTGGCTGCTTCATGAGTGATCTCAATGGTCCCTCACCCTCCTGCCACACCCCTTTCCTCCTGCACCTCTGCTATTTTCCTCCTTTGACTTATCCATTTTCATTTCGGAGGCTACAAGTTTTATCCACCATCCTGTCAGGCAGCGCATTCCAAATACTGACAATGCATCATGTAAAACTAAAGTAGCACACAGCAAGACTCCAAAATATACTAATAAATGACTACATAATCTGTTGGGTGGCATTGGTTATTGAGATAATGTCGGCCTAGAGAAAGAAGAGAACAGTGCTGCCCTTTCCTAATTACATCATGAGATGACTTGCACCATCATAAGGAGAAGGCATCTTATTCAAATAAAGGAACACCTGACAGCAGAGCACTCTGTCAGGATTGCATTTGGAGTGTTAGTCTGGGTTACATGCTCACAATTGGGCATAAACCTCCAACCTTCCAATACAGTGGTGAGAACAGGGCAACCAATAAGCTTCTTTTAAGGCTTTCCCATCATCCCCTGTGCTTGCTGAGCTACCTTGTTTCCAGGTCCAGCTAAGCCTTGATTTTAAAAGTTGCATCCATGTCTTCAAATCCTTCTAAGACCTTACTTCTCCCTGTCTCCACAACGTCCTCCAACCCTCCAAGATCTCTGCACTTCTCTAATTCCAGTCTCTTGAAGATTACCAATTCCCATAGCTCAACCAGTGACAACCAAGCCTTCCTCTCTGTGCCCCAGGCTGTGGAATTCCCTTCCTAAACCTTTCTGCCTCTCATTTTCCTTCTTTAAGATGCTTCTTAAAACACTGACCAAGTTCTTGTTCGACTCTCCACAACATCTCTTTACAAGTTATAGTGTCAAAATTCCATCTCATAACACTCCTACGAAGCACCTTGGAACGTTAAACATGAATGTGAGTTATTGCTGTTAAAGTGGCCTGTGCACTTAAAAATATCTTGAGTTCAGCTGAGAGAGTTAACAGTTAGAAACTTGCAAGTATCTACATCTCTTCCTAACAATGGCAAAATTCAGGGTCAAGCAACACATTTGCTTTTGTTTTTAATCTAAATGTGCAACATGAACAGATCTGATGAGCTGCAAGGACTACCTTTGCATTTACTGGCCTTTAATTATATCAGTGCTGAGAGAGAGAGAGAGTGATTATTCTGACAGGCCTAAACCAAAAGACCTCGCATGTTAACACTTACTGTCACTACTGGTGTTCTCTAAGGATTTGGCCTTAACTTTTTGCACTCATAACTCAGGGAGCTGGATTTGAACCCATCCAACCTACAACTGGCTCAGTGACAGGAGAGCAACCCAGTCAGGTCACTGATTCCATGGTGGGTCTGGATTCCATCTGGAGCCAGTACCCTCAGCAAGTGAAAAAGGAGAAAATAGAATTACACGGAATTTCCAGCACAGAAACAGGCTTCTCAGCCCCAAACTAGACACGTGCATGTTTTTCTGCTTACACAAGACTCCTCGCACCCCTTCTTCATCTCGTCCTAACAGTGTATCCTGATGTTTTCTCCCTCACAAGTTCTTTGAGATTCCCCGAGTAAAGACATCTCTGCCGCCTGCAGGTATCTGTTTTTTTTGGGCAGGGTGTGATGGCATATTGATAATGTCACTCAACTAATGCAGAACTCTGGTCAAATGTTCTGGGACATGGCAGATAGTGAAGTATGATCTGGAATAAAAGGCTTGCTGTGTATAACAACTATCAATTGTCATTAAAATCACCATAATTCACTAATGCCCTGAAGAAAACCTGCTATCCTTACCTTGTCTGGCCTGCATGTGATTCCAACCATGTGGTTGACTCTTAACCAGGTCAAGATGGTGGCAGGCTAAGACACTCCTCTGTCGGAGTTCCTCTCCTCGCCAGTTCCTTTTCTTCTTTCTTTTCTTTCTCTCTCCCTCTCCCCTATGCAGTACTCCCCACACCCTCCACCCCCCCAAACTTTATCTATTTTTAACTTCAACTATTTAACTCTAACCTGAAGAAAGGAATTGCCTCCGGTGATTGGGCGGGAGCTGAGTACGCAGTAGTGGAGTGAGCGTGTGCCAGAGCGAAGTCGGCGGAGCAGACATGAGTTGGAGCGGGTCCTGGAGGGGCCAAGTCCCCAGAGCGAAGGTGAGGCCGTGTACCTGGGGCCGAGTCCTGGAGCGACGGTGTCCAAGAGAGAGAGAGAGATCTCTTTGTCAGGAGGCGGCTTTGATGGGCCACAGAGCGGTGGCAGCTGAGTCGATTGGTTGGCTGGTGAGGCCTGGGGCATGCATCTTGTTCCCCATGTGGAGTAGTCTCCTGACAGTGGCGCGGTGCAGACTGTTGTAGCCCAGAGCAGGACACTCTCAGCGGCATAGCAGGAGCCGGAGAGCCTGGAGCGGGTCTCTGATGGTGGCATAACAGCGAAGAAGGAAACTTGGACTCTCTTTAAGTTATCTTTCTTTATTTTATTCTGTGAATGGCGCTTATGTACGAGCGACGGTGCATACTTTACACTGCATTTTATTTTGAGTGTATGTGACAATAAACGATATTCAATATTCAATACCTGAAATTTGGGCAATAAATCTTGGCCTAGCCAGTGACACCCACATCCAATAAATCTATTGAGAAAACAAGAAATCAGAAGGATGAGGGGATCGAGTTATCAGCAGGAAACTGATGGACAGACCTCACCTGCTAATTCAATCAAATAGTCATTTAATAAAAGCTGATTTTATTGTGAACTTGAAAACGTTCTGATTACAAGTAGCAGGGTCATGGGTGAGAGTCAGCATTTGTTGGAGATACTGTAGGCTTTCCCTCTGGTGAAGTCGGAGCTCTCTCTATAGCACTGTTAGGTCATCATTGAAGTAGAGCAGAATGGACTGGCGATAGTCATCCGGCTCCATCTGCAGATCATAGAATGTTTCATCCTCATCCACAATCCCATTCTCCTCTAGCGTCTTGTCCATTTTCAGAGGTACCCCATCGTATTTCCATGTGTAGCTGGCTGCATGTGCATTATACTCCAGGTACCTCTCAAGAATGTCATTCACCGTCTCCTCACTGCACACCTAGTTAGCCCGTGTTTGTGGGGTTGGGTGGAAAGAGAGGAAAACACACATTGAACAAAACAAAAATATGACATGTTTTCGTTGCTCATCTTTAGTTGAAGGTGTTTTATTTTGTGAATTGAGATCGCTGTTGTTATATAAGAAACACAGCAGCCAATTTGTACACATCAGTATCCTACAAACAGTAATGCACTAAAGACCAAACAGTGTATTTTTGCAATGTTCACTGAGAGGTCAATGTCGGACCCCAGACATCGGGTAAAAAACACCCATCCACCTTGCTCTTCTTCCTTTCAGTGGCTGTGGGATCTTTCACATCCACCCAAGCATATCATTGGGCTTGGTTTAATGCCTCACCTGAGTGACAACACCTCAAATGGTGCTGAACTCCCTCAGTGTTGCACTGGAGTGTCAACATTGCTTTTTGTACTCAAGTCCAGGAGTGAGTCTTGAATCTAGAATCTTTTGCTTTATTCATTCACGGGATATGGGTGTTGCTGGCTGGACCAGCGTTTATTGATCATACCAGTTGAGAAGCAGTGGTGAACTGCCTTCTTGAGTCACTGCAGTTCATGTGCTGTAGGTTGACTCACAATGCTGTTAGGGAGGGCAATTCAGGATTTTGACTCAGCAACACGGAAGGAACGGTAATATAGTTTCAAGTCAAGATGGTGAGTGGCTTGGAGGGGAACTTGCAGGTGATGGTGTTCCCACGTATCTGCTGCCTTATCCTTCTAGATGGAAATGATTTTAGGTTTGGAAGCTGTTCAGTAGGAATCCCTGTTTATCACTTTCTGCCAACGCTACTTGGCATGCAAGTAGTCCTGTTCTATAGCTTCACTAGGTTGACACCATTTTTAGGTATGTCTTGTGGCATATGCCCTTCTGCACTCTCAATGAACCAGAGTTGATCCCCTGGCTTGACAATGATGGTAGAGTGGGGAAAATGCTGGGCTATGAAGTTGCAGCTTGTATTAGAGTACAATTCTGCCACTGGGCCACAGTGCCTCATAGATGCCCAGTTTGAGTTGCTAGATCTGTTCAAAGTCTGACCCATTTAGCACAGTGATAGTGCCATATAACGCAATAGAAGGTATTCTCAATGTGAAGACATGGGCTGTACGGTAGTCACTCTTACTGGTGCTGTCACTGACAAATATATCAATGCATACGTAAATGTAACAGGTAGATTGGGGGTGATGAAATCAAGTATGTTTTTCCCTCTTGTTGGTTCCTTCATTGCCTGCCACAGACACAGTCCAGCAGTAATGTCCCTTAGGACCCAACCAACTCAACCAGTAATGATGCTTCCAAGCCACTCCTGGTGGTGGGCATTGAAATCCCCCACCCAGAGTACATTCTGTACTCTTGCCACTCTCAATGCTTCTTCCAAGTGGTGTTTAACACACAGAGGCACTGATTCATCAGCTGAGGGAGGACGATACATGGTAATCAGCTGCAGGTTTTCTTGCTCATATTTGACCTGATACCATGGGACTTCTTGGAGTCTGAAGTCAATATTAAGGACTCTCAGGATAACTCTCTCCTTACTGTATACCACTGTACTGCCTAACTCAGAGGCAAGAACTGATACTATGAAAGAATCACTAATTTAGAAAAAGGATATTGAGGTAGATCCAGGTCCTAGGTTATTGCCGTCAGAGAAGGAACATCTTTTTAATTTCCTCCTTGGTCCTCTGAACCTTTGTATATTACAATCCATTCAGCCTATGACCAGTTTCAATAATGAGTTGTCCCCTTCAACCTATTTTCCTGCCATTTCTATTTGGCCAAGTTTGATGTGTTTGCTCTCAGAGTATTCTCCTTTGTCCCCTTCTGCAGCCTACTACTACTCTTCAGGTTTCCCCTCTCTCTCCCCCCACCTCCCAAGATCACCAGAACCCATCTGCTCGTTGTTCAGCACCAGTTTTCAACAAAACTGTTTACCTCTATCTGGAGGAAAGCAGCAGTCAACACTGCAGCTCCCCCTACCCCCACATCCAGTCCTGAAGAAGGGTAATACCCGAAACGTTGACTGCTCCTTTCCTCCAGATGCTGCCTGGCCTGCTGTGTTCTTCCAGCCTCTTGTTGGTCTACCTGGATTCCAACATCTGCAGTTTTTTTTGTCTCTAACCATGTTTACCTCTATCATTTGGTATGCTTACACTGCTGGGGTGAGCAAATCCTCCTTCTCTGTGTTACTTAGCAGTGTCAATCTTTTTCTTCCAGGGATAAATCTGTACACTAGACCAGTGTCTCTCAGAGCCCTCTCCCTCATGGAGATATACGTACAATGACTGGTGTCTCTCAGTCATTCGCTCTGCAATCAGTCATGTTCCTGGAGTGTTTTGTCTAACTGCTGAATGTTTGGATGTAAGACTCTGCACTGTTCTATGTGTAACCTAAAAATAGATGGTTTGAAATATTGATCAATTGTCAGAACACATTAGTGACTTCAGCTTTCCTGAAAACAAACTCTGTCATGCGATGGCCCCCCGCCACCTCAATCAAATCCCTTCCTAACTCAAAACAAACACCAGTTAATTTTTTTAAAAATGAAGAAGTGCATATGTTGCAAATCAGAAACAAAAACAAAAATTGCTGAAAAAACTCAGCAGGTCTGGCAGCATCTGTGGAGAGAAAGCAGAGTTAATGCTGTTAGACCTGCTGAATTTTTCCAGCAATTTCTGATTAATTGAAGCTGCATACCTCAATCACTTGTTCTTGGCCTGTTAGCGTGTTGATAATACGGATATCTCTTGTTTTTTCAGTTAAATATCCAACCTCATACTTTGGATCTTTCCACCATGGCGTCCCAAAGGCATTACACCAATCACTCATTGGCATGAGGGGTGGAATGTGAGCAAAGCGACCACGAGGAGTATGGTACTTCTGGCAATTGGTGAGCTGGTCAATCTTGATGCGTATCTATGTTGGGAATGAAGAGATTCCTGTTCATTGCTCCATTCTTATGGTATACAGAGCTGCTTGCTATTTTGTGGCCTGTTCAGATGTCCCCCCCACTCTCCAGCTGACAATTTTACACAAGAGTAAGCTATTCCCGTGCCCAGAGTCCTTCACTGCCCCTGGTCCAGCCCTGTGGCTTAGTTGGTGGGGGGGCGTCATTTCTGTCAGGAGGATCGGGTCACAGAGACTTATAGAATTACAGATCAGTGACAGCAGAAGGCCATTCAGCCTGTTGTACCATGCTGGTCTTCTATACAAGCAATCCTGCTAGACCCCCTCCCCTATCTTTACCCTAAGCTGTCCAAATCTTTCCTTTTCAGAAAATGTTTCAAATTTCTTTTGAAAACCTCACCTGAAATTGTCTCTACCTCTGTCAGGCAGCGCATTCAAATCCTATCCACTCACTGTGTGGAAAAGGTATTCCTCTTGTCACAATTGCTTCTTTCGCCAAAGACTTGAAACTTGTACCCTCTTGTTATTGATCCTTCCTCCAATGAGAAAAGTTTCTCTCTATCCTCTTGATTAAATCTTCTATTAGCCTTTTCTTCTCCATATTTTTCCAATCTCCCTTCATCACTGAGATTCCTCATCCCTAGAACCATTTTTGCCCTTTCTCACTAAAGCCTTTAAATCGTTCCTAAAGTGCAGCTCCCTGAATTGAAATCTGGTTGAGACTGATGTTGTGTTCCATACAGGTTATTATCACAATTTCCTTGCATTGAAGGAAGATGAGAAAATTCCTCATTGCCTCCAAAACACCAAAACTCAGCCCTCAGCTGACTGAGGAGAAGAGGATCCAAAGACCAAAATCTCAAACCAGATTAAGGTCAAGTTTTATTGGGCAGCAATGATCTCCAGGCTCCCACATGCTTCAGGGACTTGCACAGCAAACAGCCAGCACCTCACAAGACTGGAGAAGCACCACCAGCATGGCCTTCATAAGAGTCTCCAAAACCTGTGGCGACATTGGGAATCCAGCAGCACACTGAGGCATTAATTACTCCAAACCAGCTCCCGTAGGTGGGGCATGCCATTTGTATCTTTGACAGCTGATTCTGGAAATCACTACACTATTCGGAACAGCAGAAATGCTTTAGGATGGTCCTCAAAGCCTCTTCAAAGTGGTTATACATTCCGTCCACCACAACCTTTCTTCACCTGGCATGTGACTAACCGAAATGGGGCAGATTCAGTTGGGAGGCGCTAATACACTGAGAGGCTTCGTTGGGTATGTCAGACGGCATGCACAAACCTCACAACAACCCAAAATGTTCAACCCAATAGGTGCACATCTAAATACTTCTTCAACGTAATGATGGTTTCTGTCTCTACCACCATTAGAAGCACTGAGTTCCAGATTCCCACCACCCTCAGGGTGAAAATCTTTCTCCTCACATCTCCTCTAATCCCTTACCTTAAATCCTCCCTGGGCATTGATCCCTTCATCAAGGGGAAAAGTTTCTTCCTGTCTATCTTATGTAAGCCCCTCATAATTTTATACACCTCAATCATGTCCCCTCTCAATCTCCTCTGCTCTAAAGAGAACAGTCCCAGTGTGTCCAATCTCTCTTCATAACTGAGACTCTCCAGCCCAGGCAACATCCTGGTAAATCTCCTCTTCACCTTCTCCAGTGCTATTATATTCCTCCTATAAAGCAAATTCCACAACTGCACACAGTGCTCTAGCTTTACCAATGTTTTATACAGTTCTTTTTAAAACACAGGAACCTGGTCAACATTTTCTGTTAAATTGATTCCATCAGAGAGATAAACCAGGGAATTTGCATGCTTTGATTAAATCATTAAGTTCTGTGACGACCCAGTAGTGGATTTTGAGAATCACTGTAGTTTCCCAAGTGTGCTAAACGCCAGGTTAAATATGGATAGGGCGATGCTGGGTACTGTAATCCAAGCAGCATCATGATGCTGCTTGGCCTGCTGTGTTCATCCAGCCCTGCACCTTGTTGTCTCGGATTCTCCAGCATCTGCAGTTCCTACTATCTCTGGGTACTGTAGTCCCTGGTCGGATGGTGAATTATTAAAATTGTTGCTAAAATCCTTTGGTTGATGCTCTTTGTCTTCAGTTTCATTTCCCCTGGCAGCTGAGATTCCATACTTACATCTTTACGCTTCTCATCAAACCAGTGGCTGATATCTTGTCCAGCTGCTTCTAAAATGGGTCTCAGTAGAATGTCACCTGGATGAGAGGGAGAATACAGAATCAGCACAGCCAGGATACACCACAAAAGATACTGTCTGCCAGCTATATCTTCTGGTTATTATCACAATTTCCTTGCATTGAAGGAAGATGAGAAAATTCCTCATTGCCTCCAAAACACCCAAACTCAGCCCTCAGCTGACTGAGGAGAAGAGGATCCAAAGACCAAAATCTCAAACCAGACTAAGGTCAAGATGTAAATGAAGTGCTTTCCATGCCATCGGTTTTGAACCCCGAATCGCCAGCTAAACCAGAGCCAACAGGAAGGAAAGATGCAAAATGTTGAGGTCATCACTAAAAGAAGATTTGTATTGACATAGCACCGTTCAGGACCACTGGAGTCATAGGGTCGTACAGGCCCTTGGCAGATCAAAGTAATTTTCAATTAACAAAATATTTTGCAGTACATTGTTGTTGTTATACCAGAACCACGTCATCTCATTTGTGCACAAGAACGTCCCACAAACAGGAATGTGATAATGGTCAGATAATTATTTTTTAAACTATGTTGGCTGGAGAATGAATGTTTGCCACAGGTCTCTGGGGAGAATCCCGTCCCTCCCCTCCTCACAGCTCTGCTTTGAAATAGCAGTCACAGGATCTTTTTCAAGGGCAGATGGGGCCAACTCCCATTTCTCCACCACTCACTAACCTAAACTGCCTGCTGGTCCAGATTTTAAAATTCTCACTCATTGTGTTCAAATCCCTTAATGGTTTTGTGCCTTCTCTGTAACCTTTGCCACCCTCTTCACTTCTTCCTATCTCTGTAAAGTCCTCCAGCCCCTACCTCCCTCCCAAACTCTGTGACCGCCTCTAGTCCAAAATTTCTGCACTCCTACAACCAATACAGCCCTCTCGTGCATCCCCCGAATCCCAATACTCCACAATTGGAGGCTGTGCCTTCAGCTACTGGACCCCAAACTGTGGTATTCCCTCCCTAATCCTCTCAGGGCTTTGGTCACTGGCTGTAATCTTTCCTTATGGTTTAGGCATAGAACCACATAGGTTCAGTAATTGCTCGCATGAAAGTTGTTCCTTTCACCACAGGAAGGGCTCAAGTTGTCGTTGTGGAGGTTGATGCTGGGCTGAGTGATGAAAGTGGTGCCTCACAGCGCCAGGGATGCGGGTTTGATTCCACCCTCGGTCGGCTGTCTATGTGGAGGTTGCACATTCTCTCTGTGTCTGTGTGGGTCCCCTCTGGGTGCTCCGGATTCCTCCCACTGTCCAAAGGTGCACAGGTTGGGGTGGATTGGCCATGCTAAATTGCCCACAGTGTCCAGGGATGTGCAGATTTGGGTGAATTAGCCACAGGTAATGCAGGATTACAGTGATAGGGTGGGATGCTCTTTGGAGGGTCGGTATGGACTTGTTGTGCCGAATAGCCTGCTACCACGCTGTAGAGATTCTGAGCTCTTCACCTTTAAACTGTTCGGCTAAAGGGGTCAGGTCATAGACTTTTCCCAAGTAGGAGACCCACAAATCATTCATGGTGTTATGGACAGCCACTTCCCGACTGCTGTAGTAGCGGGAGTGCAGCACGGTCGCAGGGTGCTTCTCTCCTCCTGCTACTGCGGCCTCCTCCGTTGCCATGGTGATAATAACAGGAAGTGGCTCGGGGTACGAGTTCCGGTCCTCGGAACTACATCTCCCAGGGGGAAGCGCGAAAGCTGGGTGTTTTTTTTCAAACAAAACCACTGGATTTTTAACGCGACGCCGCCGCTGCAGCGTTTCGTGAGTAATTTTCCAGCGCGGGGCATGCGGCTCGGTTTGAGGCAGGAGAAAGGGGTAATCTGTTTACTTCTATCGTGCCTTAAAATGGCGGCCGGAGCTGAGCGCGGCCTTGCCTGGGAGTGGGGAGGGACAGAGACACAGTGGGGGTGGGGGGAATAGCGAGGGGGATTGGAGTGGTAAAGGGGCGCGGAGAGACCGTGGGGAAGAAATGGTGATGGAGGTGAAGTGGTGAGGGGGGACAGAGAGACGGGTGGCGGGGTGGTGAGGGGGGGG